CCCTGGTGCGTGCTGCCACTCTTGTGCTACTGGGCCGATGTGTCGGGGTCTGCGCCAGTTGGAGGAATGACTGGCAGGCTGCTTAGTGCCATGAGGCACTTCAGAGCTGCACTGCCTCCCCGGGGTTTAGGGCACCTAAGTTTCCCCAGTATTCCCAGCTTCCGGGACAACTTTGTCCAGCTATGGAGTCCCTGTCTTTTTAAGACTTGTAGGAAGCACTTGCTTTTCTTTTGTCTCAGGGGCGCCGGTTGCACAGACCTGCCCACAGGTTTTGCTTTTCCATTTCTCTAATATCCAGCACCCCGTGCACCTTGTGTCTGCGCTCTGGGTATGGATTTCTATATCTGGTTGTTTAGCAGTCCTGGGCTTTCACTCCCTCCCCGTTCCGACTCCTTTCTTCCCACTGGGTTTTGGGGTGGGGTGAGCGTTCGGGTCCCGCCTAGCTGCGGCTTTTATCTTACCCCCTTTGTTTGATGTTGAGTTCTCACAGCTGTAGATGTATCCTGGCTGTTGTACTGCATCCACTGGTGTCTCTTTTAGGAATTGTTGTATTTATTGTATTTTCATAAATATATATGCATTGGGGAGGAGATTTCTGAACTACTCACGCTGCCATCTTCCCATGATCCCCCCTATTTTCTTTTTTTAAGATGCATTTGGTTTGTATCTTTCTCTAGAGGGTGTATATTTCGGTAATATGTTTTATGCATGGCACTAATAATTTAGGAAGATTTGTATTCTGTTTTTCGCTCTTCTGGTGTTAGCTTTATACTATAACTTATAAATGTACTTTATTCTCTATTTCTTTAGACCATATCTATTCCCCACTGCAAGCAATGACAAAATTATTATACTGCCATTCATCCCATCTCCTTTATTCCACCTCATTGTAATCAATCTATTATTATTAGTTTTTTTAGTGATCATCACTATATTTTTGAGTACACATCTCTGTTATTTGCTTTATAAGATGTAAATGTTATCTTTTGACCTTAGATAGTAAAGATAAAATCAACATCCTTTTTCCACTTCCCATCTTCTTACACCTCCCCTTCTTGGTTTTTGTTAATTTTATAAATTTTAATGGTACAGTTTATAATACTGATATGCTAAGTAATATACTGTAGTGATTAAGAGAATGAACTGTGGAACCAGACTGCCTAGGTTCGAATCTTGGCTTTATCCTCTTGTAGCTGTGTGACCTTGAGCAAGTTATTTAATGACTTTCTGTTTCCTTATTTTTACAATGGGTATAACAATAGGTTCTACCTCACAGTGCACAGTGTGGTCATAATAAAAGCAAAGCACTAACATGGTGTGTGTGGGGTCATGGGGAAGACAGTGTAGCTCAGAGAAGACAAATAGGAACTCTGTGGCATCTTACTACACTGATGGACAGTGACTGCAATGGGGTATGGGGGGGACTCAATAACAAGAGTGAATGTAAAAGCTACATTGTTTTTCTTGTGAAACCTTCATAAGAGTGTATATCAATGATACCTTAATAAAAAATAAATAGATAAATAAATAAAAATAAAAGCAAAGCACTAGAACAGTGCCTGACACTTAGTAGGCATCTGGTAACTATCAGATTTGTATTATAATGGTTATTATGAAATAGATTCCCAGGGTGGTTTTCATTGCAGTCCTACAACTCAACTGGATTCCATGTTCAGTTTTTCCGTTCATGTCTTGGTTGCCTGAAATTCATTCTCTAATAGTTCTTCAAGATATCCTAATGGGAGTTATGTTTTCTTATCCTTATATGTTCAAAAACATTTGATGCCTTTTACCTGAAACAAAGGCTAGCTATGTAACATAACAATAGCTATTATTGAGCACAGGTGTTCTACTGATTATACCATTGTACCTCATAATAATGCCATAAACCAAATATTAGCCACATCTCCATTTACAAATGAGAAAATTAGGACACAGGCAAGTCATACTTCCTTTCTCAAAGACTTTGCTGGCATTACACCACTGTTATCTAACATTGATGTGGCTTTGGAGAAATCTGAGACCAGTCTGACTTATTTCCTCTTAAAGGTGTCTGTATCTTTTTGCCTGGATGCTCAAAAAGTTATTTTTGAAGTTTAATAAAATTTAATGGGATATGTTGCAGGGGTTATTCTGTGTCCATTGTCTTGAGATGTTATGTGTCCTTTCAACCTGTAGATCAAAGTGTTCTTTCATTTATGTGAAGTTTCCTTGAATTCTGCTTTGAATAATTTTTCTTTTTCACAATAGTCTGTTCTTCCTTATTGAGACTTGCTGGATCCTTTGTCTCCTGTACCTATAATTTTAGCTCAAATTCCTTTTAGTTCTTTATAAATTTCAAATTCACATTGTTCTCTTAGCTTACCCCTCGTAAGTCTTACTGTGTTGCTATCCCCCATATATAATATGGCTTTAATTTTTTTTTTTTTTTTTTTTTTTTTAGAGGGCATCTCTCATATTTATTGATCAAATGGTTGTTAACAACAATAAAATTCAGTATAGGGGGGTCAATGCTCAATGTACAATCATTAATCCATCTCAAGCCTAATTCTCGTCAGTCTCCAATCTTCTGAAGCATAACGAACAAGTTCTTACATGGTGAACGAATTCTTACAGAGTGAATAAATTCTTACATGGTGAACAGTACAAGGGCATTCATCACAGAAACTTTCGGTTTTGATCATGCAATATGACCTATAAACCATCAGGTCAAATATGAATATTCATTTGATTTTTGTACTTGATTTATATGTTGATCCCACATTTCTCCTATTATTATTATTATTTTTATTTTTAATAAAATGCTGAAGTGGTAGGTAGATGCAAGATAAAGGTAGAAAACATAGTTTAGTGCTGTAAGAAGGCAAATGTAGATGATCAGATGATCAGGTGTGTGCCTATGGACTAAGTATTAATCCAGGCTAGACAAGGGCAGCAAGACATCCACGGATGCAGAAGATTTCTCTCAAAGCAGGGGGGGTGAGGTTCTGAGCCTCACCTCTGTTGATCCCCAAATTCTCACCTGATGGCCCCCCTGCGACTGTGCCTGTCTTAGGTTGTTCCTCCCTTGAGGAATCTTACCCGTCTCTGGCTAACCAGTCATCTTCCGGGGCCATACAGGGAAATGTAAAGTTGGTAAGTGAGAGAGAAGCCATATTGTTTGCAAAGGTTAGCTTTTTACTTCTTTGCAGATTTATGCCCTGTGGCTTCTATGCCCAGCACTTGTCTCGAGGTATCTTTACCACCTGGAGGAATTATGATACTCGGTAAATTCGATATGAGGCACGAATTCTATTTAAGGTTTGTAATTAGGAAGGAAGAAGAAAAGCTATAGATGTAGCATATGAAGGAAACTTGGGAGGATTGATTATTTCTTTGACATATCTTCTTGTAGAGTACCTTAAGTATGTATAGGTTTTAAACTACTAACTAATTTGCACACACATATTAACATAATAGGAATACGGTGACATAAACAAAGCAAATCTATAATTACCAGCCATCTCCAGTGAAGCCAAGAAAACCATTTAGGCACCCTAGGCATTTGTGAAAATTTATCTATGATATGATGGATATTTTCCAACTGTACTTGAACCATCAGACAAATTAAAGCAGCCCATTTCTGGGATCTGTTCACATCCCATATGTTCTTTTAACCATAGATAGTCTATAGTCATGAGATTTTGGGGTGCTACAACTTGCACCCCTCCCAACTCCTGGTTGAGTTCCAACAGTACAGATCCAGTCAAATTCGTTGTCTCACTGTTATGGCTTTAATTTTTAGGATTTTTTTCTTTTTCTTCTTTCAGAGTTCTGCTAACTTATCTTACGTTTCCTTCACTTGTCTCATCATCTTTTCTTCTGCTTTGAGGTCATATTTTAAACTGTTTTATTAAGTCCTTTGAATTCATAGCAATCTGGTTTGTTCTATTTCATGGCAACATTTTTCTGGAAAATATCCTTATCTGATGTTCACTTTTCCTCTTTCTTTCCTCCTTTATTTGTAGATTTGCTGTATGGATCTCATGCTTGTTTTTCTTTTGATTATTACTTGTTATTGAATGAAATGAGTTCTTCCTCAACCAGCTATTTGCAGGAAGCAACTGGGGCAGTGAACCAAGCTAATATTGAGACTGCTGTGGCCCAGAGTTTGTGTGAGTGTATGTGTGTGTTTTATATGAGAAAAAGAAAAGGTGAGACAGAGACACACAAACTGGGTTAGCCGTATGTCTCCCAGCAAGTGCATACTTTCCCAACCCCTATTTCGTTAAGAGACTACCTCCAACATAGATAACATTTTTAATGTTACCTGTTACTTCTGATAGTTACTGGCATCAGAATGAGTAGCTGGAAGTTACCACAGCTTGTGTCTCTAAAACCTTCATTGCAAACCAGGTTGGTGGTTCTACTTCTCAATATACCACCTATTCAGTGCTCTGCCAACTTTGGGAAATGAGGTCACAGCAGTATTTAATCTCAACATACTTCTGCTGCTGGTATGTTTTTCACTGAATTTGGCAGGCCATCATCATTAATTGTGCTTTAGGGTTGGTTATATTAGCATCTTATCAAAGGTAGAGTTTGTGTTTCTTGTTTTTGGGTGATCTCAAGGATTACAGAATGACAAAGGTAACTTAATTTTGTTATTTTAAAATATTTTTGTATTTTAAATTTCAATTTTGTATTTATTTTAAAACCAAAGCCATTTAAAAACACAGAGTGCCTCTAATCTTAGAGAGAGTTGGTACCATACCACCTTATACCATGTTAAATGGGAAAAACAGTTTCAAAATTTTCTGCATACTCCAGTGGCAAGAAGATCTCCCATCATATAGCTAGTAAGAAGCAGACCTTGGATTCAAACCAAAGTCTGTCCAAATCCAAAGCCTGTGTTCTTTTTATCATAGAACTTTCTCCTCCTGAAGAATATATATATATTTATGGTTGTTCTTATGAACATTTTTCTCTTAACTACTTTTTTTTTATTTCCTGGTTTTTAGTGTGACAAGTACAAGACTGGAGTTATTGATGGGCCTGCATGTAATAGCCTTTGTGTTACAGAAACACTTTACTTTGGGAAATGCTTATCCACCAAGCCCAACAATCAGGTATGGACATTTTGAATAAATATTCCAGATTGTTAGTGGATCTAATATTACCTTAAATGAAAGCATTATTTAAAAAATTATTGAATCAGAGCTTTAGGACATTTGATATACTCTAATTTTGTATGCTCTGATTCACTCATCCAACAGATGTTTATTAATCCCCTATTCCCAATGTATTCCAGACACTACTAGAAATACAGTGTGACTAAGACAAATAAGATTAAGTGACATAATATATTCAAAGGACTGAAAGGAAAAAAAAACCTACAACCAAGAACACTCTACCCAACAGGTTATCATTCATAATTATAGGAGAGATCAAGAGGTTTCCTTCCACACATGCAAAATTAAGAGTTCATTGCCATTAAACCAGCCTTAAAAGAAATGTGAAGGGGCTTTTCTAAGTGGAAAAGAAAATGCCATAACTAGAAGAAATTTATAAAAGGAAAAAATTTTACTGGTAAAAGCTAGCATATAGAAAAAGAGCAGTCACTTAAAAGCTAGTATAAAAGCTAAAAGACAAAAGTAGTAAAATCAATTATATCTGTAAAATTAATTAAGGAAATCAGAAAATAAAAAGATATAAAATATTACATCATATACATAAAATGTGCAGGAGGGGAGTAAAAGTGTAGTGCTTTTAGAATGTTTGAAATGAAGTGAACATCAACTTAATATAGACTGCTATATTTTTAGGATGTTATATATGAACCTCATGGTAACTACAGACCAAAGTCATATAATAGATGCACAAAAATACAGAGAAAGGAATTCAAACTCAACACTAAAGAAAGTCATCAATCATAAGGGGAAAGAGCAAGAAAAGAAGAAACGAACAAAAAAGAACTACAAAAAACAACCAGAAAACAGTGAACAAAATAGAAGTTAGTACATACCTATCAATAATTACTTTAAATGTTAAGTGGTCCAAATACTCCAATCAAAAGATGTAGGGTGACTGAGTGGGTTAAGAAATAAGACCCATCCATATGTTGCCTACAGTAGACTCACTTCAGACTACAGAAACTTATGGACTGAAAGTGAAAGGATAGAAAAAGGTATTCCAAGCAAATGGAAGCAAAAACAAAGCTGGAGTAGCAATACTTACATCAGACAAAATAGACTTTAAAACAAAAGGTGTAATAAAAGACAAATAAGGGCATTATATAATGATAAAGGGATCAGTCTGCAGCAGCTAAATATATAAAACAAATATTAACAGACATAAAGGAAGAAATTGACAGTAATATAATAATATCAGGAGACTCTAACACCCCACTTACATCAATGGATAGATGATCCCAAAAAGAAAATCAATAAAGTAACAGTGGCTTTGAATGACACAATACACAATAGGCACTTAATAGATGTGTGCAGAACGTCCAAAAAGAGCAGAATACACATTCTTCTCAAGTGCACTTTGAACATTCTCAAGCTCAAGAACAGATCGCATGTTAGATCAAAAAACAAGTCTCAGTAAATTTAAGAAGACTGAAATCATATCAAGCATCTTTTCTAATAACAATGGTATGAAACAAAATAAATTACAAGAAAAAAACTGGAAAAAATACAAATACATGGAGGTTAAACAACATCCTACTAAACAACTAATGGGTCAACAAAGAAATCAAAGTGGCAACCAAACAATACCTGAGATAAATTAAAATATAAACACAATGGTTCAAAATCTTTGAGATGCAGCAAAAGCAGTTCAAAGACTGAAGTTTATGGTGAAAGAATGAAAGAAAGAAGAAAAATCTCATATAAACAATCTAATCTTATTCCTAAAAAAATCTTGAAAAAAACAAACTCCAAAGTTAGTAGAAGGAGGGAAATAAAGATCATAGCAGAAACAAATGAAATAGAGACTAAAATAAAAACAGGATCACTGAAACTAAGAACTAGTTCTTAAAAAGGATATCATTGATAAACTTTTAATGAAGTTGCTCTTGCCTAATTCAAGTTGCTCACTACTAGAACAGAGTCAAAAACAAAATAAGAAAGAGACTCAAATACCTAAAATCAGAAAAGGAAAGAAGTTAAAACTTAAGAAATACAAAGGATTATGAAAGATTACTGTGAAAAGTATATGCCAACAAATTGGACAAACTGAAAGAAATGGATAAAGTTCAAGAAACAAAATCTTCGAAGACTGAACCAGGAAGAAATAGAAAATCTGAACAGACTTATTACTAATAATGAAATGAATTGGTATAAAAAAACAACAAGCAAAAATCTAGTATCAGTTGGTTTCACAGGTGAATTCTACCAAACATTTAAAAAAGAGTTAAATACCTGTCCTTCTCACACTACTACAAAAAAAGAAAAAGGAAGTCTTCTAAATTCATTCTACAAGGCCAACATCACCCTGATAAAGGTGTGACAGTACAAAGAGACTCACTTCAAACCCAAAGACATACACAGACTAGAAGTCAAGGGATGGAAAAAGATATTTCATGCAACTAATAGGGACAAAAGAGCAGGCGATGCAGTACTTGTATCAGACAAAATAGACCTCAAACCAAAATCACAAGAGACAAAGAAGGACACAACATAATAAAGGGGTCAGTCCAACAAGAGGATACAGCCATTATAAATATCTATGCACCCAACAGAGGAGCACCTACATATGTGAAACAAATACTAACAGAATTAAAGGGGGAAATAAAATGCAATGCATTCATTCTAGGAGACTTCAACACTCCACTCACTCCAAAGGACAGATCAACCAGACAGAAAATAAGGAGACAGAGGCACTGAACAACACATTAGAACAGATGGACCTAACAGACAACTACAGAACAGTCCACACAAAAGCAGCAGAATACACATTCTTTTCAAGTGCACATGCAACATTTTCCAGAATAGACCACATACAAGACCACAAAAAAAGTGTCAGCAAATTCAAAAAGATTGAAATTGTACCAACCAGCTTCTCACACCAGAAAGGTGTGAAACTAGAAATAAATTAAGCAAAGAAAATGAAAAATTCCACAAACGCATGGAGGCTTCACAACATGCTCCTAAATAACCAATGGATTGATGACCAAATAAAAACAGAGATCAAGCAATATACGGAGCCAAATGACAACAATAATTCAGCACCGCAAAATCTGTGGGACACAGCAAAGGCCATCTCAGGAAAGAAGAACAATATTATATGAACAGTCTAAACTCACAATTAATGAAACTAGAAAAAGAAGAACAAATGAGACCCAAAGTCAGTAGAAAGAGGGAAATAATAAAGATTAGAGCAGAAATAAATAAAATCGAGATTAATAAAACAATAGAATCAATGAAGGCAGGAGCTGGATCTTTGAAAAAATAAACACAATAGATAAACTCCTAGCCAGATTTAACAAGAAAAAAAGAGAGTCTGCACACATAAACAGGATCAGAAATGAGAAAGGAAAAATCACTATGATTGCCACAGAAATACAAAGAATTATTAGAGAATACTATGAAAAATTATATGATAACAAACTAGATAACCTAGAAGAAATGGACAGCTTTCTAGAAAAATACAACCTTCCAAACTGACCCAGGAAGAAACAGAAAATCTGAACAGACCAGTTACCAGCAATGAAATTGAATCGGTAACCAAAAAACTACCTAAGAACAAAACCAGTGGTCCAGATGGCTTCACCATTGAATTTTATCAAACATTTAGTGAAAACCTAACACCGTTTCTCCTTAATATATTCCAAAAAGTATAAGAGAATGGAATACTTCCAAACTCATTCTATGAGGCCAGCATCACTCTAATACCAAAACCAGGCAAAGACACCACAAAAAAAGAAAATTACAGCCCAATATCCCTGATGAACATAGATGCAAAAATACTCGACAAAATATAAGCAAACCAAATTCAAAAAAACATCAAAAAAATCATCCATCAACATCATCCACCACCTCAACAAAAAGGTCAAATACCACATGATCATCTCCATACATGCCAAAAAATCATTCAACAAAATTCAACATCCATTCGTGATAAGAAGTCTCAACAAAATGGGTATTGAGGGCTAGTACGTCAACATAATAAAGGCCATATCTGACAAACCCACAACCAACATCATACTTAAAAGCGAGAAGCTGAAAGCCTTTCATTTAAGATTAAAAATGAGACAAGGATGCCCACTCTCTCCACTTTTATTCAGTATATTCTGGAGGTTCCATCCATGGCAATCAGACAACAAACAAACAAAAAAAGGCATCCAGACTGGGAAGGAAGAAATTAAACTGTCACTGTTTGCAGATGACATGATATTGTACATTAAAAAAACCCTAAAGAATCCACAAAAAAACTACTAGAACCTATAACTGAATTCAGCAAAGTTGCAGGATACAAAATTAACATGCAGAAATCTGTTGCATTACTGTATACTAATGATGAACTAGCAGAAAGAGAAATCAGGAAAACAATTCCATTTAGAATGTCATCAAGAAGAATAAAATACCTAAGAATATACCGAACCAAGGAGGTGTAAGATCTATACCCTGAAAACTACCAGACACTCATGAGAGAAATTAAAGAAGACACCAATAAATGGAAATATATCCTGTACTCCTGGATAGGAAGAATTAATAATGTCAAACTGGCCATCCTGCCTAAAGCATTCTACAGATTCAGTGTAATTCCTATCAAAATACCAGCAGCATTCTTCAATGAACTAGACCATATAGTTCCCATATATAGGGAATCACAAAAAAAACCAAATAGCCAAAGCATTTCTGAAAAGGAAAATAAAGTTGGGGGGATTATGCTCCGCAACTGCTCTACTACAGAGCCAGAGTAATCAACAATTTCATACTGACACAAGAACAGACCCAAAGGTCAATGAAACAGAATAGAGAGCCCAGATATAAACCCACACATATATTCCCAATTAATACACGATAAAGGAGCCATGGATATACAATGGGGAAATGACAGCCTCTTCAACAACTGTTGTTGGCAAAACTGGACAGCTACATGCAAGAGAATGAAACTAGATTAT